CGCATGCGTTCGCCAGACAGACAGAGAGAGACATAGAGACAGAAAGCGAGAAATCACCCCCTAGGGGGGATGGGCATGCCACAATCCCTTCTCCTCCTCCATTCTCCTCTCGGGATCATGGGCATGCATGCACATGCGTCTGGCGTGAGTTTTAAGCCACCGGGTCCGGGATGCGAACCGCAGTCTACTACATGGGAGTCAAGCAACATAGACATTACGCTAACTGCTGGTTCCTGAAAAAATATTCTTTTATCTTTGGATTGTGATGGTTGGAAGCAGACGTAGGCCCACAGCTTTGCTTGAGTTAAACCTCACAGATGTTTTGTTCTGTCATGAATCTGAGCCCACAAATGCAACATATTTTTTTTTCTATTTCTCATTTCCTTTGAAGCAGACTTGAAACTCTTATCATCAGCAAATCAATTTATTGAACCCATCCAAATTCGGTTTTACTCTCAAAACTATATATTTTCCTGCTTCCAATCTTCAAGTTGGGGGGAAAAAAAAGCAGACTTTTCATATTAGTGATTTTAACAACTCAAAAGCCCTAAAAGTAAATTACTGGTATTTGAGAACATGCAACAGATGAGCTTCCATTAAGTAAAGGATAGTAACTATATTGTCTTACTGGTCCCACGCCAGGATATTGAATGTGCACTTGCATCCCACCAAATGCTACTTTAACTTACTATCATGTGAATTAACATGTTTAGATGTTTGTGTAGGTTATACATAAATTCGTCAATATTTCAAACATTCTTTCAATTTTTATAAAAATCTGCTATGTGCAAAGCACTACATACATATGGCCAGATGTAGCATTAACTATTGATACATGAAAAAATTATATAATATAAGCCCAGCTATATTAACACTCACTGGTTGATGCTGCTAGTCAGCAGGCTGAAGTCACATTAGAAGCTTGGTTTCTGGCCGACCCCACAGTCCTAATGTGGTAGTGTATGCCTGTAGTCCCAGACACTCAAGAGCCTGAGCTGAGAGGATCACAACATAGAAAAACCCAATGTGAAAAAAGTAATATGTTATAAGTACATTTTATGTATTACTATATATATATTATATATAAAAATTTAAAGTAATATATGCTAATCATTGTTTGTTCCTAAAAGGGGTATAGGAGGAGAATAAATTATATAAATGGGAATGTGAGCTGGAGAAGTCGTTCAGAAAGTAGGCAGATTAAAAGTACAATGACATTTATTGCAGCTAGTAGAGGCGTGGTAGGTAAGGTGCTAAATTCCCACAGTTTGAATCTTGGACCTGGCAGCTTGCTTTCTCATTTTATTTTTTTCTCTCTGCTTCTCTCTGGTCAAATTAAAAAATAATAATAACAAATAAAATTAAATAAATAAATAGTTCTAAAAAATGCAGAATGACATTTACAAATTTCAAACAAAAGCATAGACATTCCATGCATTGTTATATGAAAGAATTAACCATTGAATTATGGCAAAAAGTGCATTTTATGACATTAAACTCTAGGTCTAAGTAAACTTTGCTTCACCAGTCTCTGACCAGTTTCTAATGTCACATAAAGGTGATCAATTAATATTATTAGATATGGATTGAGCCACTCTTTTTCTCTCTATTTATTTTTGCTATATTCTTCTTTTTGTGACACAAATATTTTTGTCAAACAAAATTATATCATCAGAATTAAAGCTTGGAAATATTGATGGGTGGAGGAAATACCAACAAAAATGCAATAACTTGGGCTTCATGATATTATTAAAAATAGCTATCACTTCATTCTGTATAGGCGCCCCATATACTATGTAATTTAGAGTATTTTTGTGCAAAATCAATACAATCAGAACTATTAAAATAACTGGTGCTTTGATCTTATAGATACTAAATGTTAGCAATCTTTTGCTATTTTGATATTGTAATCATTTAAAATAGTATATTTTCTTTCTTTTTATTTATTTTTTTGGGGAGAGATTTTCGCTATAGGGCGCGTGCGCTCACCAGACAGAGAGAGACATTAGAGACAGAAAGCGAGAAATCACCCTCCAGGGGGCATGATCACGCTGCAATCCCTTCTCCTCCATTCTCCTCTTGGGATCTTGGGCACGCACGCACACGCGCCCAGTGTGAGTTTTAAGCCACCGGGTCGGGTATGTGACCCATTGTCGACTATGTGGGAGTCCAGCGACATAGCCATTACGCTAACTGCTGGTTCCCTAAAATAGTATATTTTCTTTATGTTTCTGTCTGTCAATCTATTCATTAATAAATGGTCAAGAAGAAAATATTCTAAGCAGAAATAACGTAGTTTCCATAGGTGCAATATTTAAAATATAGTAAAAATCTCATCAATACCTAAAATAAAAATAGAACAGTCAAGATAACTATTGTACACAATATCATACATATGGATAAAAATTTAAATATTGTTTTCTGGTATTAGAAGTTTACCCAAATGACCCATATAGTCCTCATATTTATTTTTGTCAGAAAACGAAACAACAGCAATGGCAAAGAAGTTTGGTATTCTTGCATATTTTAACAACAGGGAAATTATAATGGTAGAATAACCCATCTGACTTTAAAAAATATAAACTTTAGAATCTTCTGAGTATATTTGTTCCAGTTTCCAAATGGTTCACTTCATGGCAATATTTAGCACAGCAGAAAATGTTAATTACCATCAAATGCATTTTGAACAATTTTATTCTAATGTCATTTGCAACTGCTTCAGTGAAATTCTTATTTGAGCAGAGCTTTTCTGGTTCCAGATCACTGATTTGTTTAAGCAGAAATAAAAGGAAACCATGGCTGACTGGCTAATAGCCTTTCTTTGACTCTTTATAGAGTATTTAAATAAGAAAGTAATCCCAGACAAGTAGCTGAATGATAAAGCTCAGTTTCTTCCCTCATTCCTAGGGATCCATGTGCTCAGGTTGGGTAAATGTAAGTTCAGTTTTCATAACTGCAGGGATTTTTCTATTTTGTGACTTCATTAACTTAACACTGCATCAGTTCTATGATTGTTGCCCTATGACATTGGCACAAATTAATCTAAGCTTGGGGACTGTACTGAGAACACTTTTAAAAAGTAAGCATCCTATTATGCAAATAATATGCCAGTTTGCAAAATAATTGTGACGATTCATGACAATATACCTGCCAAAAAGAATTGGTATACACAAAAAGAAATCCACATTTCAGCTCCTGACATTTCTTGAGCTATTAAAACTATTTAATAAATAAATAAATAAATAAATAAATAGAGTTTTAAATATTTTAATATTCACTGTTTATTTCCTGGTTTTGCTGCATTTGATTCCTGTTTAAGTCTGTTTCATTTCAAAATATAAAAATCAATTTGAAAGTTTTCATAGACATGGTATTATACTCATTGATAAATAATCCAACTGGTTCTTCATGCAGAAATCAATCAATACCAATCTACCTCTCTTGTCATTGATGGCCATATTTAGCAATGCCACTTGCTTTTTTTATTAGTCTAACTTAATAGTCAAATCCTTAACAAATTCCATTTTAACTGTACTCAAAGATTCCTGTTTCAATGCATTTTTATTTGTCCTATTCATTTAGTCCTTTCACCTTTAATACCATAACCTATTTTCCTGAACTACAATTGGCTAGATTTCTAATAATAACACATACAATTTTGACCACAGGAAATAAAAATTTAAGCTTTGTCAAAATTTAGTATAAATATTTATATCAAATAAATTCATGTTAATGGAAATACAAACTTTGATAAACTGAACACAAGATTTTCATGGGAGATTTTATTTAGATTATAACTTAAACTTTAAAGATGCTATTTATATTTCAAAAGGATTTTTTTATGTATTGCTATAACAAAAAAATAAACTTGCTGATTCTGAGAACTAGCCATTTTAGAAATATTCAAACATCGTCATGAGGCATTAGTTTTTCAAGTTAACATTTATTGGGTAGTCAGAAACGTAATGAAATATTTTTTTCTGTTTCTCTATGTAAAAAATATGTAATGACTTTTCTGGCATTCCAGTATTATAGCCCTCAGATAAAAGTTCCAGTCAAGGGGCCAGCAGGTGGCATGGTGGTTTAGGGCACTGGACTCTCACATGACCTACAGTGATTTAAGCCTTGACCTGGAGGCTTGCTTTCTCACTTTCCCTCTCTCTGTTTCTCTCTCTCTTTCTATTTCTCTCTCTCTATGTGTGTGTGTATGTGTGGCTGTCTCTGGAAATATTTTTAAAACATGATAATAAATAAAGTTAAATAAAATAATCCTTTTTAAAAAGTTCCAGTCAAAAGCCTATTTTTCCCATATCTTCTTTACTTGTTTTGCATAAGTATTTTTAATTCAAACCTTATTACAAATGAGAGGTAAGCTGTCCTCCTTTCCACCCCACAGTAAATGTCTCCACATTGACATATATCTTACGGACATCAGGGGCTTAAGCATGGATTAAAAATGACACGCCTCAAGGAAAATATCTATCCCTGACAACTACTTTGCAAAATGCCGCATGTTATTTACATAGTGTATGTAGTAAAAATCCCTAATGGCATGGTAAGAAATTAATCAGAATAAAAATGTCTGAAAGAATAGCTCCCAGAAAAAGAAAAATGAAAGAGTTTAGCGCTATCAATGAATAGAATTCCCTGTACCACACAGGCTATTTTGCCTTCATTCCCTGGGTGGAGATGTTTTATTTAATGACACTGCATGACTATGCTATTCAGAGTTACATTTCATGAATCTGTGGCTTATCTATTAAGAAGCACACGTTACATCTCTAGCAACACCGACATTAAAGTCAATTGTGTCATCATATTTAGAATGACTGAGTACATTGGCCAATTCCACATAGTCATTTATATGCAGACAGTAACTGATATATCTTCAAGCAAAGGATCAGCAATATCTTACTGATCAGTTATTCAGCAATATGAAATTATAATTGAAATGCATTTCACAAAGTACTTTTTAAGTATTTCAAATGAATAAATTTTCCAAGGCTTTTGTTCAGTGGAGAAGTACTGAGCAAAGTGCCTGCCTTGATAGTCTTAACAATTACTCTCCACAGCATCTGAGGCCTGGTTGGATGTTTATTAAGGTCTTACATATTCATCTTTACCAATAACACAATGTTAAGTAGTTAGCTGTATGAAAATTCAATGCATTCAATGTATTCAATGTTGACTATTTACTATATGAGGAGTATAAGATTTTGAGACTTTTCTATCCCTTGAAGATAAAATATATAAATTGGTAAAACAAAGCAGAACAGAAAAACACTGGCCATGGCTAAATGGAGGAAGGGTTGGCTTCCCCCAATCTTCAATCCGTAGTGCTATTTTGGTTCCTAAGATTACAATTTCTTTCTGTACTGGTCTCATTAAGGCTTAAAGGTTGCATTTCTATCAGTTGAGAATTATTAAGATTAAATTATTAAATTAGTTATGTGTATATAGAAGTTACAGGGTTGTAATATGAGTTTCTTCTGAAATCTTTGCAAGACGCTTACTCACATAATTAAAGAGACTATTAGTTTTCCATAGAGAATCTGCTGTTAGTCTCTATCACTGTTCTTTCTTTGGGTCAAATATCTTCTTCAGCATCCTATATATACTGTTTTCTTCTAGATCTATCCATCATTGACTTTTCTTGTCAATATTTTCATCTATATTCCCTGTCTCTCTCCTTTTTTCACATGTCATATATTGACCTCAGTCTCAACCTTGACTGTGGCTTCAACCAGATGGCAGAAATATTTCAGTTTAATCAATCCAGTGGGAGAAAATAACATACTGTAGATGTGTTTGAGATGAACTAAATTGAAGTCTTGACTTTGATACTTGGTGGATGTGTTCAGTATTAGGAAGTAACCAAATATCTCTATTACTCAGCTTGTTCATTTAAAATAGATGTAATAATCATAATTACCTCCTATACAAGAATGTTTGAAAATTAGTATCCAGGTAATCTGTAGTTACTCTTCATAAATTATCTCTGATTGCTACAACAGCTCCTACAATTCTCTATTTATTTATTTATTATGTGTGAGAAAAAAGTCAGCAGTTGTAACTCAGCAGTTTAACATAGCTTATTTTATACACCGTGTTTTCTCCCCACAGAAGACAATGTATATGGAAATGCTTTGCAAACAATATGGTTTTGTAAGAGATTTTATTATTTAGATAAATTCATCTGGGTCTGGATAAGCCTGGCCCACAATAGCAGGATCTAATCCTTAAGATTAGACCATACCCAGTCTATCACATTATTAAACAGGATAGGTTAGCAATGATATCACTATTGGGCCAAAATAACTTCCTCTCTATATCCCATTACATGTATCATAAAACATGTTATTGACAAATTTGAAAGATGCATATGAATTTCAGGTAATCTACGCAAATAAGGCAGCTGACATGTAAAAGAGTTAGCAGAGAAGACAGCATAGAGTTGCGACAAGGCCAGATGTAGCAACACTTAATTATCCCTTCCATAATCTGATTTCTAGCTTATTGATGATAATTCCATTATCACCTTCCCTTAATAATAGGATAAAATGTTTCTATATTCTTCATTCCAAGTTACATTTGTTCTTAGATTTTATTTTTAAATACAATAAATAAATATAAAATATATCAAGAATTTTATAAAGTTCATCTACCTATTTAAAGCATCATATTCTGAACTGGAAAGTATATATTCTATTTCCTAACAAATTTGCATTAATCTCAGTTCGAATCTGACTCATGGACAATGTTGGCTCCTAGGTTAGTGCAAAACAGTTACTAAGCAAGTGAGATTTCATTTTGTCTCTTTCCTAATTTTCAAATGCCTTAAGATGGAAAAGAGTGAAACTTCTTCCCAATCTTACTGAATTAAAAACTTAAATGGTCAGTAAAGGAAAAATGAGAAACCGCAGAACTAGTGCTTTAAGAGAGTGGTGAATATGTGATTTGTTATATCATAGATCAGTATCTGTTTCTACAGCATGGATTCAACACCTTATTTTATTAAGCCTACTTATAAAAAATGTTTGGAAGAAATGTTCTTTTGCTCAAATGATGTTGGGAAATATTTCATGCTATTGTGTTCTCTTGGAGATTCACAAAGATCATAAGAACATTAAAGATTTTGAGAAGTTCTTCATTACAAAGACCTGTTTACTTGCATTTTTCTCTTACTTGCAAAATTTTCTCTTAAAACAAACTCAAAAAATTTATGTCTAAACTAGTATTCTGGGGCCCAATGATGACATAGCAGTAAAACTCCTTCTATGAGTCTCTGAGGCTAACCCATGTGGGAAGATTCCAGACTCTTGTCCAGAAACCTCCCTGAGTACACCAGGCATGTATGTCCCTATGATCCAAAGACTGGATGAAGCTGGGATGGATCATGGAGTCAAGACCCTGTTGGGGATGCTGTCTTTCTCTTTGTCTCTAGCATTCTTATTCATGAAAGAAAGAAATCAACAAAAATGTAGTATTCTAAGATATGTAATTGGATATTTCTGATAGATAGTATTAATTCTGAAATAATGTTACTAATGATTTTTCATTGCTTTCCTTTTCAGCGGACTGTGGAGGACCTTTTGAACTATGGGAACCAAATACAACATTCAGTTCTATGAACTTTCCAAACAACTACCCTAATCAGGCATTTTGTAAGTAATTTCTTTTTTATTTTTTCCTTTTTTTTTTTCTTGAGAGGTTTTTGCTGTAGGGCGCGTGAGCTCTCCAGACAGAGAGAGACAGAGACAGAAAGCGAGAAATCATTCCCCAGGGGGAATGGCCATGCCACAATCCCTTCTCCTCCATTCTCCTCTCAGGATTTTGGGCACGCACGCACACGCACCCGGTGTGAGTTTAAGCCACCGGGTCCGGGACGCGAACCATGGTCAACTACATGGGAGTCCAGTGACATAGCCATTATGCTAACTGCTGGTCCCACTAATTTCTTTTTCATGCCAACCAAAACAAATATATGTATTTATTAATGTTTGATCTCCTCTTGAAACAGAGTCAATAAAGCAGACAGATAAAATAAGGTGATTATTCTAGTATTAAAAGATGAAATAATGAGGATCACTGAAAAATGCCAGGTCTAGGGAGAAAAATATTTTGAAACTGCACAAGGTTATGTGTAGGTTAATATTCTAACTCAACAAAGTCACTAAAGCCACACAGAGATTGTTATTGATGTAGATTGTTCTACACATCCTAGAGAGTCTACTTCAGTAGATCTGAAGTGAAAAACAGATATGTTCTTTGCGTGACAGTGCTGCTTAGGACCACTAATCTAAATGGTAAATTCTGCCAGTGAAAGAAATGCCCCAATGACAATGAAAAATGTGATGTTAGAAATGCAAACTTTTCTTCCTTCAGATGATCCAGAGATAAGTGAACATCACTTTCATATGCAAATATGTCACTAGTATAGGATGATATCTGATCCAAAAAATAAAGAACCATTAATGAAATCTTATTTATGTGGAGAAACAGATTACCATCCCTATTATGTACTAAAGATATCTTTACATCTTTTGAAGAGTTCCTTTGTTCAGAGTAATGACTTATAAAATCCTAAAAGCAATGAAATTGAAAGAAACATTTAGAGATCTTTATTAAATTATTTATTTGCTTGAGACATATTCATTGATCACTTTGTTAGGGTCTATAATAAGCAAAAAGAAACAAACATGGCATAGTCTAGATAAAGATTCAGATAAATTGATGAGAATTATAGTGTCCAAGATACTTTCATAATAAAAGTAAAGACAGAATGCTATGGAGGGATGTTAAGAGGTACTTAATAAAATTAAGTTCAAAGGTACATGATCATATTTTTTTTTAGTCTTAACAATTACTCTCAACAGCATCTGAGAAAAATTAAATAATAAAAAAATGAAATAGGAACTGTAAAAAAAATCTTACATGATGTTATGTCATTTATATTTTATTTTGAACACATGCAAACCGTTTATAAGGAAATAGTGACAAAATAAAGATTGTAATTTTAGATGGATCCATCAGACTGTAGTATCTAGAGGTAGTAAAAGTGGAGCACTATAAACACCACTGATCAGGAGATGAGAAGTGGCAGTGGCTTAAACTCAAAGTGACAATGGCCACTGAGAAGTAAATGAGATTTTTGGCATACAAAATAGTATTGACAAGCCTTGATGATTGTTTGGATGTGGTAGAAGAAAGGAGATCAAGAATGATGCCAAAGTTTCTGGTGGGGACAACTGTAAGTGGATAATTCACAGAGATAGGAAGGTTGAGAAGAGAAACGAGTTTATGGACATATAGTTCTGTAATCCTGTGAAAGAGATAATTCCACGTTTCCAGTAAAACATGTCATATTGAGATGTGAATATCCATATATAGGAAATAATTGGATAAATTTGTCTACTTCTCAATTAGAAGTGCAGAAAACAAAGAGTTAGAAGTCATGACTGTATAGTTGAAATTCTGTTCCTTAAGAAGGTATGAGAACATACACAGAATGACAAACTAGCCTAGACAGAATCTGAAGGCTAAATCATTTCAGGAATGAATGAGAACAAAAAGTATTTATTATTGATATTGGTTAATTTGTTTTGTCTTTGGTTCTATGTCATTTTTTTATATATATTTTTTGGTTGTTGTTGTTTGCTTATTTGTTTGTTTTCCAAAATGAACTATCAGGGTCAGTTCAGTATTGCAGCAGTTAAAACATGTGCATAGAAAGCCAGAGTTGGCACAGTCAACCATGATTTGAGAACTGTCCTGTGGCTTGAAAAATATGCTGGTCTTGTGTGTGTGTGTGTCATTGATCATGATGGGATACAGAAATAGAGATAAAAGGATGTGTTGTGAACTCTTCCCCCTTGGTGTGCTTTCTATCTCTACCTTTCTCTCTCTCTCTGGAAAGCACACGTGCACTCTGGAAATTTAAAAGAGAGAGAAAGAAAGAAAAAAGAAACAAAGAAAGGAAGGAAGGAAGATAGAGAGAAAGCAAAAGAAAGAAAGAAGAGAAGGAAGAGAGAAGGAAGGAAAAAGAAAGAAAGAAAGAGAGAGAGAGAAAGGAAGGAAGAAAGAAAAAAAGAAAGAAAAAGAAAGAAAGGAAGAGTCAATAAAGAGAGAAAGGAAGAAATAAGAAAGAAAAAGAAAAGACAACTGCTGGCATTCGACTTATATGAGTAAATGCAAAAATAAAGAGATAAATATGTGATAATTTACTTGTTCTAAAAACTTAATTTTAATCACCTAATTTTCTTCTAAATATAATTGCAGAAATAAAAAATAGAGCTAAAGTATTGATAATCTTTTGATATTTAAAAATCTGGTATTGTAGTAGTAAAAATCTACTTGCAATCTTTGATTAAAACATTTCATTTTATAGTATATAAAATAAATTCAATTACAGTAAGTTATGTTACATTTTACAAAATTTTACTATAAAAATTATTGGCTAAATGAATTTGTTTCTTCACCTAAAAAGAGAAAAAAATAGCTTGGAATTTTGGTTTTTATGATATGGAAAAAATATTTTTAAAAGTGATTTGAAATTCTCAAGAGAATGAAGCTTTTGTGAAAAAATGAGAGAAATATGTTTAAAATTGTGTTTACTTTTAAGGTGTTTGGAATTTAAATGCACAAAAGGGAAAAAATATACAACTTCATTTTCAAGAATTCAACTTAGAAAATATTGAAGATGTAGTTGAAATCCGAGACAGTGGAGGAGATGATTCCTTACTCTTAGGTAAGTCAGTCATTGGAATATTGTGAGCATTGGATAGCTCAAGACAAACTCTTAAACAGAATAATATGCTTACTCTTTCAATTAGGAAAATAAAGTTAGGACAGTAGGGTAATATGTTGAATTTTACACAGAACTTTGAATGTGGGTTTTGTTTGCAACAGTGACAAAATATTAGGTCGTCAGAAAAGTCATGACATATTTTTCTGTATTTTTCTATGTAAAAATGCATCATGACTTTTCCAACAATCTACTAACATTGTTGAGAAATTTGAAAAAAAAAAAAAAAACCAGGATTAATATTTTTGAGTCATCAATTTCTACCAACTGGTAGAAGTGACTACACAAAAGAAATATACCTTGGACTAAATGCTACCAAACACATTATGTAAACATTTTTTTGAAATGTAACTATTAAATCAAGTTTTATTTTACTTCAAACTATGTCCCCAAATTGTGTTTGTCATACAAAAATTATTTTTTTATTTTACATTTTGTAATTATTTAATTGTGTCCTTAGTGCTAATTGCTACTACATACGCATCAGAGAATGATTAAAAAATTGACCAAAGTTGGTTTGCTCTATTATCTATCAGTATTAATTTTTAAATAAACATGGGGGGGGGGGACAACATACTATTCTAGAGGAAATTTTTGTGCCTAGATCATAAAATACATATTGACATACTAAAAAACTATCCATCAAACAATATCTTATTTACTACTAATCCTAAAGAAAGAGGTATTTCTTGGTAAGTAACACAATAAATTGTAAAGATGCCTACAGATCAACTGGGATGCATGCAAAAGTATACTTTACAACTAAAAAATGTCTTATCTCATTGTGCTTAAGTCCTGTTAGTCATTTAATATCAAATCTGGCCTGAGAGCTACACAGCAAGACAGTCACAAGAACACTGGACAAAGACTTCTTAGGGAACTTTCTCCAGCACATGAAAGGAAAGATTTTGGAGATAATTCCCCAGTCATATAATTCATTATTCAATATAAACTTTTCAATAAAAAAAAATCCATGAAGTTGAGAGTCACACATAAAACAAGTGAACAATTCAAGTCTTTCTGGGGCTAGGAGACAAGCAAGAATTGAGAAATTTGGAATGCTGTTTTTTGTGTACACATTTATAATCACATTTTGAGTAGTTTTTGTATTTTCAGGTCTAATTGTCTTTTTAACAATAATTTGAGTGTTCTCATGATCTAAAAATAAATAATTTATCTTTTCGCATCTTAATATTTGCATAAATCACTGAAAACTAAATAAGAATTCCAGAAGCATCTTAGAATTACACTTTTTAAATTTGTGGACAGAAAGTTCTTTTGAAATAAAATCTCTTTTCAGCTTCGTAGTATATTTTTGGGTCAGGGAGTGAAATGTCGCCCACTCCACTCTTCTTTTGTAGAATTGCTTTGGCAATGCAAGGTCTTTTATTATTCCAGATGTATTTTATGATTATCTTTTCCAGAAATTTCTTCATGGAAATCATTGTGTCTTCTATGTACACAATCATGTCATCTGTGAATAGAGAGAGTTTCACCTCTTCTTTTCCTATTTGAATGCCTTTAATTTTTTTCCTCTTTTCTGATTGCATTGGTGAGGACTTCCAGTACTATGTTGAAAAGGAGTGGAGAAAGTGGGCATCCTTGTCTTGTACCCATTTTTAGTGGGAAAGCTTTCAGCTTTTCTCCATTCAGGATGATATTCTTGATGTTTTCTTCATAGATAGCTTTTATTGACTTGAGAAATTACCTTGCATTCCTGGAATAAAGCCTACCTGATCACGATCTATAATCTTTTTTATTAGTTGTTGGATACAGTTTGCTAGTATCTTGTTGAGAATCTTTGAGTCTATATTCATCAGAGATATTAGTATATAGTTTTCCTTCCTTGTCCTGTCCTTATCTATTTTGAGGATAAGGGTGATGGAGGCTTCATAGAATGAATTTGGGAGAGATTCACCCTTTTGGATCTTTAGAAATAACTTGAGCAGAATGGGGGTTAACTCTTCTTTGAAAGTGTTAT